CACCATCTCCAACGTCCCTACATCCCCGGTTAGCCATGGCCTCTATCCACACAGACCTCCATGCAGTCACTATCAATAAGGACTTTCCAATGGCCGAAGTCAGGGAGAGCCTGGATGGGCCCTGGCCTTGCTGCCACCACCACCCACTGCCGCTGACTGACTCATCAGGGGCTTACAATGGTAAACCTAGAATCTGAACTCATTGCACCCCAGAAAAGGGAGAGCTGTAGTCCCCACTGACTTTCAATGCCACTCTGACCTGCCTTCCAGTCCCTCAAATTCCAAATGTCAGAATCTCAAGGGGGCCAAAGGCCATCTCAGCCCTGAACCAATCAGCCTCCGTGCCTCCAGTGCCAGGTACATGGTGCTGATGTACCTTCAAGGTCCTACATGTGCTGAGTGTGGACCTGGCCCCGAGCAGCTCATCCACAGTCTCATGTCTGTCTGCAATAGTGGGAGAACACTGCTTCCTCAAGCCTTCTCAGCTGACCGGTGTCAGCCTGTTCCTCTTGTTAATATAGCTTGAGCAAAAAAGCATGGTCATGCCCTGACTCCCCTCTGTGCCACCCCAGACACAGAAACTCTATCCCTGTCACTCCTCACCCCGCCTTCTGATCAGCCTCTCATGTGCCCTCTCTCCTCTATGCCCACAGCCTTGATCTAGCCCAATCTTCAATCCTGCAGGTTGCTAGAACAGTTGCCTAACCTGTGAATTCTCCTAAGCTCACCACTCTGTCAAGCCCGAGGTATGAAAGCATACCTAAACCCTTCTGAAACTCTGCTCACACGGGAAGGGTAAAGCATGCCATACCTGCCCGCCCCCTCACTTCCCCTTACCAGCAAAAACAGACGGCAAACCTCACAATCACTCTAGCAGCAGATACGGGAGATGTGAATGTCTTCAGCAGAGGGTACAGATGACTCATCTAAACCTCATTCCTGTTTGAAAGTATAGTCACTGGAAACTTCTTCAGCATGAAAATATTACTGGCATAAATATGCATCAGTCGGCACGCAGGGTTAAAAACCAATCTGTCAGACTAATAATGAGAAAGCCGAGCGAGCAATAACTGATCGTTAAACATCTAGATTCCCAGCAGTTAGGAACTGTTAAGAATTTGAGATTTTGCTGACACGGCGTCATTAGAGTACAGTTTGTAAGATCTGAGGAAACGAGAAGCCAGAATGCCCAGCAAGGCCCTGGCTGGCAGTGCAGAGCGTGTGGGCGCCCACGGGACAGCAGCAGTTTACCTCCATGTCATCATCCTGGTGAAGCCACGAAACTGGAGTCAGGCCTTGAAACATGGAGTCTAGAGTTTTGAGTCTCACATCCATGAGAACAGATTAAGAGCTGGAGAAACGGCTCCAAGGGTAAAGGTGCTTTCCACCAAGCAGGACAACCTGCATTTGAGCCCCCGGAACTGCATGCTGGGAGGGAACCGACTCCCTCGTTGTTCTCCGACCTCCATACAAACCACAACACATCCCATCCCAATGCAAACACAGGCAATACAATGAATAATAGATTAAAGGACAAGGGATGGGACACTGCTGCCTTTCTGGGGGTCTTAGGAGGGCAGTCACATTCCAAAGAGAAATCCGACCCAGAACTCACTCTATAAGCCTGTGCCCAAGTAAGGCCCTCCACAGTCTAGCTCCTACCTGCCTGCGAGAGCTCCTGTCCCACCCTGCATGCCCCCACTATCTACTTTGTCATCTTGACAGACCTATCCCTCCTACTGTCTAACATACTTGGGAGTTCTCCTCTAAGACCCCCATAAAGGTCATATGACTTTCTACTCTAAAGGTGAAGAAGGGGCCCATTTCTGAGCCCTTAGGGCTCCTGGTCAGAAACTTAAGCGAAATGCCTTTGACACCTGTAGATTGCCTTGTATGGCATCTCACGGTCATTTTTTTTGCTGTGATTCACCAGTCATATTTCAAATTTAAGATCATATAACAGCTGTGTTCATTAGAGGCCACCAAAACTACAGCTAGAATTTTACTATTTCTGTTTGTTACTTTGAACAGGAAGCCTGTGAAGATGAGTTGTTAGATCAAGAAGGGGGAAGGGTGCTGTTCCCAGAGGCTAGCATGTGTAAACACTTATCAGGGAAAGGTCAAGGTCACGATATAAAGAGCCCTGCTGGGGACAGAATGTGTTTAGCAGGAGGGCTGCACATGCCAGTCCGCTTTTCTGTCACCAGCTTAGAGTCGCTGATGAGTTCCTGAACTCTACTGAACATTCTGATGCCAAACTTTTGGGGAAGAAGACCACTCAGGGATGGAAGAAGTGTCAGGATGTTATTTCACTATGCATTGCTTGTGAACTTAGGAAGCTCACAAATGAAATAATGATTCACCTCTGAGTTCTAGGAATTGAAGTTCTGGGGTTGTTACAAACAAATCACCTCCTGATTCATGCCCCAGAACAACAGCTATCCCATCCAATACATCCTTGAGAGCCTGACAGTTATTTTACTGCGTTTGGAAAATCAGTCATAGCAATCTTCCGTCCACAACGTCCTTTTCACGGGTTTAAAGATACAATCCAAGTGCAGGAGGACGCCACTGACAGGCTGAAGGAGAGGGGGGCAAGGACAATGGATGTATTCTTACTTAATTCTCAGTCCAAAGGGAGAGGCAGAATAGAGACAGAGGGGTGCCAGGCTACCAACTGACAGGTCTTGGCGGTCAGCTAGACAAACAGGAAGCTGGTTTGGATTTGGGAAGATGGCAGGTGAGTCTGAACTGACTTTGATCGACACACTGAGGCCTTCAGGATGTGAAAGAAGGAAAGGAGAGAAGTTGAGCATTACCAGATGACTACTCTCTAAGTCTTGGTTTGAAAAGAAAACAAAGCAAATTAACTACTATGTGCCTGGCTGAGATGGAAGGGAGGGAAGAGATCTGCAATACCCATATTTGCTAACTACTCAACAGGAAACAGAAAGGCTATAGAGCCCAAAGGAGTTCTGGAAAATGACAGGTACCCTGAGTGCCTGCAGTCTCATTACTGCCCCCCTTTCTGCGGTCCCTTCCTCTGGCAGTGACTGAGTGTCTCTGTCACTGTGCCAGCTTGAGGTGAGGTACAACCAATGAGACCAAGTCACACTAGGAGCACAGGCTGCCTCTGGGGCAGCCTCAGCATCACAGGTACTAGACCTTTAAGGTTTAGAAAACAAAAACCCTCAGGTATCTAACAACAAGAAAACATGGACAGAAAAAAACTGATTGATATGGAATTTTTTTCAGCCATAAAAGACAAAATTATGTCATTTGCAAGGAAATAGATGCCACCAGAGATAATCATATTAAGCAAATGTATGCTTAGAAAAGTCTGAGAAAGACAAATTTCAGTTTTCTCTCATTTGTGCTTCCTAGATATCGTGGAAATATATAAAGTGATGTATGTATATATGACATGAAAGTGAAGTAAAACTGCTTGGGGAAGAAGGGAATGATGGGTAGGAGGGGTCAAAGGGGACAACAGAAAGATGTGGGGAGGGCCACATACTCACTTATAAGAAAAAGCCTCCATGTGACAACACAGTACATAATGGAGATACACAATGAAAACTTTCTAAAATCTGCTTTATGCTCAACTGGAAGTACGAAGCCTGATACATTCTCAGTTACAGCATCATGGGAGGTTGGGTGACTTCTCAAACAAGCGCTCCCAGTAAAAGAGTGCTGGTATCAGTCAAGGGCCTTACAACTTACACTTGAGAGTATGGCCTTGTTTAGAGGACTCCTGCTCAGTCCCATGGACAATTGGTATCACATTCAGAGGAAGACCTTCCAAGAGAAGAGACCGGAAAGGTCAGCCTATTTCAGGAAACAATGGTTCATTGAAACTGCATCCTGCTCTCAAGCTAATCTGCCTCCTTCTGGACCACAACCTGGCCTCGTGCTATGGCATCTGTTTTCCAACTTCTCCATCAAAGGACAAATCAAATGTTAGTTGACAATCTGCTTTCTAATTAAAAGTTGATTTTCTTTTTTTAGAAATTCCATTTAACTGAACAACGCCACATGGCAGTTTAATGTGCAGAGCCACCTTGATTGACAGGATCATTTGCAATTATTTTAAAAAGGAAAAAGAAAACCTCATCAGATGCAGCAGGATCAAGTTGATTAGACACTGACTTATGAAGTGTGCCCATGCAGCACTCAGATGAAACAACTTTACTTCTGGCGTTTAAATAAGACCCAAGTGGAGCAGTCACCTTCAACGCTGGGTGGAAGGATCAGGAGGAGGATACTGGCTGTGGAGGAAAGGTGCCAGGCGGGTGGGCGATGGAGAAACAGTAGGGTATGCAGAAGGGCAAAACTCCCTGAAAGGAGTCTGAGGTTGGAAAGGGTGGGACTACAGGTCTTGACACAGGCAGCCTACAAGAAACTGAGAAAACAGACTATCTCCACTGGCTCATGGCCTCAGAACAAGCTTTGAACTTCTGAACTTGTTTGTTTGCTCACAGTGAAAGCCTACCATCTGCCTGCCTGTCTCCTGAAACTGCTGAGAGAAGGAAACTGGATGCTGTGTGTACAGTTATCTACAAACAAGTAGGTAGGTACGTACTCTAGACCCAAGAGACTGCTGTGGCTGTGGTCACCAAGGAAGGGCTAGGACTTGTCTACCGAGGTACAGCAACCATGAAGATGACTGGATGCATCAGAGGCTTCTTCGGAATAACTAGCAGGAGCATAAAGAGTTTTAGGAAAGGAAACGTCTGGCTAGTTTAAAGTAAAATGTTTTGGTAGGCAGACAGTTATATGCAACTGTTTATTGAGTTGCCTAGAGGCTCACATGGACAAATGTACCAAGCACAAGCAGTGAGTTTAAAACCTCACCCTTAACCCCATCCTGTGCAACCTTAATTCAAAACTAGCCCCTGGGCAGACATTTGAGGAAGGTCTTTGATGAGCAAGAAGAGGCCCAGCAGAGAGGGGGCATGTTTTTCATCACCCCCAACCCCAAGAGTCAGTAGAGTTTTTACCTTTTCTTCAAATTCAGGAACCACTGCTTTGCTGAGGTCAGTCAACTGATTTCCAGTCAGGGTGACCTGAGTTATTTCTGTTGGGAAATTAGAAGTAAAAGTGTAAGTCTGGAGATGAGCTACCCATCCTGACTCCCAGCCATGCTGGGAAGGCAGACACAAGCTTCCTTCCCCAAGCAACAGGTGAAGGGTGACCAGTCAGCTGTACTATCCCAGAGACACATCACAAGCTGGGGGCTTCTACCAACACTCTCAGCAGACTGCCAAGTTTGTACCCTGCATTCCTGAGAGTTCGACAACCTTCTGCCAACTCAAACTGTCGTGAGAACACTCCTGTTTCCTGCAACCAACAGCCACTATTGTAAAATAAGAGACCCAGGGCCGGGTCCAGAAAGGAAGTAGAAGCAGAGAGTGAGGAAACAGGAGCTTCTGAAATAAAGACATGGGGAAAAGAAAAGGGGAGGGAATGGCTTGGGCCTCACACCACTGTCTCCAAGAGTATTCAAGAAAAAAGCCCCAGAGTGCAGTCAAAAAATGGTCCCAAAAACCCCAGAGACATACAAGGTTAGTATGGACACCCTAACTTCAGGGAAGATGGGCATAACAAGGGTGGGGCCTGTAAAACACCAACGAAGGGTTTCACTACAAACACGGGTCAGAAGAACCCAAGAAGCATAACTGAGCAATGGAACCAAACAGACCCCACAACTCAAAGCTAAATCTTGACTTAACACACCGCCTTTCCTGCCCTATCAATCAATGTTCTGTCTTAAGGAATAAACGTTTGATTTGCCACCAGGGTTGTGGTTTGGCCGTGGCTAATTCTGTTTCTGGAGTAGCCTGGCCTACTGATGTGACTGTCAGTCTCTTGGCGGCTCAGCCAGGCTGGGCGGTCTAAAGTGAATTCACTAACCTGATAGTAAGCAAGACTACTTTATATATTTTCTAATTTATTGAATGTATACACACAGCCATGTATATACATATGCATGCACATGTAAATACACACATACATATATGCTCAAATACATGCACACTTACATACAAATACACACATAAGAACATCCCAGATTTTTGACCAATCTCTACCACTGGCCATATTTCCCCTTTAGTTATAGTGCTGGTGAATCAAGAGTCACACATGCTTAGAGAGCCCAAACTCCCATGTGTTGTGGAGCACTGACTGGTAAGGCTCTGAGATTAAGATGCTGAAGGCAGGATTAGGACGCAAGACTAGGAACGAGAAGGCAAGCGATTCTTCTGACAGCCACAAACGTCAGGTTAAGGTATCTGTACTCCACTGGGCAATGTAAGAGCTGGAGCAACCTCATTGTTCTAAGACAACGACCGCTCAGAAAACACATAGTTTACATCGGCTCCAAAAAGAAGATATGGCCAAAACTGCAAAGTGGGCTGGAAATCTGAGCAAAGAGGCCTGAATGGCCTTCAGCCTCAGCAGGTCCATTGTCTACTGAAGTTGGCTTACTGGCTACCATGTGCCCAGCTTCTGTCCCTGGTAAAGAGATCAGTGGCCCAATGACTTTCTGCTGGTGGAGGAGGTGACAGGGACAGCAGCTGGCCTGCCAGAATAAGTCCTGGGGTAGCTCTGCCATCTGCCCATGCCTCCCTACTTATCCCAAGCAGCAAAGAGTCTGCCCTGCCACTGCTTCTGCCCAGGCCTCAGTTTCCCCAGCCAAAAAACAAAGAAGATGACAAGACTTATGCACGGAACAAATAATGCTCAAACCAGTGCCACCTGCCACCAACTCCGTGTGGCAGTGTGATAAGGCATGCGCAGAGCGGTTAGAAGCTTTCTTGCCACTAGGCTGGTACTTGATCAGAGGAGTTATTTTGTTGTATAGAACACAGACTGGCACATGAGCTCCAAAGGAAGCTGCCACCAAACGATGAGTTTATAACAGCGGAGATGTATTCTCAGTCCTGAGGCAAGAAGTCTGAAACCAAGCAGGCAGCGTTCACACATTCCCTACAGACGGTCTTCCTCCCAGCCAGCGCCGATGGACACCGGCATTCCTTGGCACCTGTGGTCCCATCTGGTGCCATCTTCTCTCTACTTTATCCTAGTCATCCTGAGTCTGTGAGCTGGCATTTGGGGTCTCCTGACTAAGCCATGATGATTCTACCCCAAGGTCCTCACGTTGTCAAAGACTCTCATTCAAGTAATAACTGGCTTGGTTATTACTGACTTCCTCTCGGGCAAGTTACTGCATTTACTGTACATTCATATCAGTCACAACTGCGGTGAATAAGCCTACCTAATTTCGATAGCCTGAGCAGCACTGGAGCAAATAGGACTCTGATGTGGGCTCTGGAATCATGCTCAGGATGAGGTTGGCCCAGGGAACAGCCGTCACTGCAGGAAAGGAAAGGAGGTAGGCAGCTGGTTCTTGGTTTACACAGCTGCCCTCTTACCCGTCCATCGGGACCTCACATGGCTTTAGCCAGAAAGCTATATCGATTGGTTTTCTGTTCAAGTACCACCAAGCAGAGTTTTAAATGTCCAAATCTGAGGACAAGAACAAAACTATAGACTGCAGTCACCCTGCATGTGCTGTTAGCATGTGCTCTCTAAAACACTCATCCTCACTGACGTCACAAACTCTCCAGAAGCCTTCAGGCTTTGAAATGAACGGAAAAGGACCTTGGAGACATAGCAGAACAGGACCTCATCTCAGAACAGAAGGCCTCTGGTCTCCTTGCAAACTCACACCCCACCTTAACTGCAGACAACTTCAGAAGAACCAGGAGTGTCTAAATTTTAGATTCCGAAGGGCTAGTGTTCCACAGCTGATAGGACTACAGGCTCTCTCATTTCTCAGCTGTCAACAAGAACACAGCAGGTATGAGCCTTCTGGAAGTCCGCTCACCACACTGATTAAAAAGCTAAAAAATCACATACACCCTTTGAAGCCACAATTCCATTTCTCAAATTCTACAGTCGAAAACAGAACTGACACAGACCAAAACTAGATAGTTCACGGTAGCCTTATGCATGAGGTAAAAAAAGAGAAAGACTTCTTGCCAACAAAAGGAGATTATTGGATAAATAAATGTGGTTGGTTGACTCATAAAAAATTATTAAGCTATTAAAATAAAAAATCATGTTATGCAGAATTTTTAATACAAACAACTGCGATAACAGGTAATCCTTAATTGAGCTAGACACTATACTAAGCATGTAAAGTGTAATACATATACACACACAACCTCACCTTATTAGAGGGTGTACCAACTCAAGCATGCAGGTGTTTCATTTCAACTTCTCAATCAGAAAAAGACTGGCTGAGAATCAAGATTCTTGTTCAAGGTAATCTGGCATGTGTGAGAGGGCTCTGGGATTTGAGCCCACACAGCCCAGCCTCAGAGCCCTTCTTACAGATCCAGATAAGAGCCCTAGAGATGGCAAGCCCCATCCTGAAAGCTCTGAATGGAACCTTATGTGAATAAGCACTCTGCAGATACTTTTAACAACCTTGAGATCTGACCAACAGAGGCCTGCGAGTGGGAGTAAACCTAATCTATGTAACTTCCTGAGAGCCTTTCTCAATATTAGAAACACAGTTTTTTGTTTGTTTGTTTGTTTGTTTTTTTAAAAAAAAGGAGTCTGGGGACACAGCTCAGAAAGAGTGCTTGCTTAGCATGCTTGATGCCCTGGGTATGGATTCAAATCCCAATACTGCAAATAATAATAAAAAACAGCAATAACTTGAATGAGCTTTGAATGTCATGGCTAACAGAAGCAAGGGACCAACAAATAACCTACAGGCAGCTGAAGGTCAATCCTGCTTGCACCTTGATTTGGCACTCTGGTCTCTAGCCATACATGCTGTCTAGAGCCACCCCAATAAGTGGGAAGTCATTACAGCAGTTACAAGAAACCCATGCAAACCCCTGTAGTGTGCTGCAACCAGGGCAGGAGAGAACACAGAAGTCAAAATTTACACACAGCGATCTTAATTATGCATACAAAATATATGCAAACACAACAAAATGTTTTTAGTGATTATCCCTGAATAGAAACATGTTTAGCATTATGCTTTCTTATAATTTTTCAATTTCTATAATTAGCCTGAGTTATTTTCACAAAGAAAAGAAAGGTTTTTAAATTAGCATTTCATGATATTTCTGCAAATCTAACTCATTCACAAAGACTAAAAATCAAGAGGTCCAAAATTTCCTAATTATCATCTTAATTCAATCTCAGGCCACCACCTGAAAAAAATCAGCAGCCTAGGCCGACCCAGCTGTGAGAACCACCTGCCCTCAGTTTCTCAAAACCTAATGTTTGAGACTCTAATGGAGGCAAACTGTAACAGGAAGTTAGTTTCAGGCTTTGGAAACATAGGGTAGCAGAGGATGACATAGGCCTTTCCTCCATCTAACCAGACCTGTGGTGTGGGGGAGAGACTCATTCACAGAGCTAGGTCAGCCAAAGTCTGCAGCCACATGCCAAGAACAGAAAGCACCAGTAAATGTAAAGTAAATGTTTAATTTCTCTGTAGATAACGTCACAGAAGGAAAGATTAAGTGTCACTCTAATCTCCTTACCCACACCCTGAGTCCAAGGCTACTCTGTCTCAAGGCTCCTACTGTCAGTTGTGCAGTCCCGACAGCCAAGGTCAAGTTCACTGCATCGACACCTGTGCTTTGATCAAACAGACTCACATGACAGACTGTCCCCGCCCCCCATGTGTAGGCAGCACTGGACCAAAACAGACAGGAAGATCTGCATTCCCTCACAAGAAGGGGAAACCAAGAGTTGCTGGTTCCCTCCTGGCTGAGGTCAGACCAGGTTCACAGAACATACCAGGCATGTTACATGATTTCAGAGGAGTAGGGGAGCACCCTACAGTCTGGGTTTTCCTAAGCACATTTATGAACTGTTTTATTGGCCAGCCAATGAGTATATTGCCTATAATGTCTCTCATGCCAAAAAGACAAGTTCAACATGCTATCCCGGTTGATTCAGCCTGGAATACAGGTTATCTGGATCACAAGAATGCCCTTATCTGGATCACAAGAATGCCAACAGCAGTATCCAGAGAGGGAGCTATGG